TTTTTTTTTTTTTTTTTTTTTTTTTTTTGGTGTGTGTGACACTGTGTGTGTGTGTGTGCTGGGACTTCCCTGAACCTTGGCCGGGACTTTGCCCGGACCTGGCCCGGCCGGGCCACCGGGGGCAATCTGAGGCAGACCGGCCTGGCTGGTAACTCATCGTGCCACACCTCCACCCAGACAATATCTGGACCAAAACCCTGCACTCGGACACCATCAGGACAAGACCCGGACCTCAGTCTGGATACGACCATCTGGACGCCAAAAACTGATCCAGAAGCCCGAACCTGATCCTGACACCCAAACCTCCTTCGAACAAGGGGTTGCCCCAAGAAAATGACCCTCACCTCAGCCAAAAGGTGTTCGTAACTTTGTACTGCCATCCTGGACAACATTTGCAAGGCTTTGAGGCCTTGACAGAGCCAGGAAGGGCCCCAGCCAAAATGCTGGGTGGTGAAAATGCCGGCGGGGCCCTTCCCACTGTGCCCTATGCCCTGCCCCCACGCCCGACAGTTACAAGTTACAACGTAGCGTGGGGCATCATAAGCCAGGCTATCGTGCTGTGTGACCGAGGCATCGTGGGCACCAGGAGCACATGCTGGCAGCAATGTGGCACAAGTCCTTTCCACCCAATGAGGAAGCGGGGAGCAGTAAGGGCCACGTCGAGCAGTTATGTCGTCTAACCAAATGAGGCCCAGGGCACATTCGGGAAAGCCCGTGGGCGCAGATACTGGGTCTGGACATGAAGCTGCTGGGAACCGCGCACACACGCCCAGGCAGGGTCCAGGCAGCACACACTTTCCATAAAGAAAAGTGCTGGGCACCAGTCCAGACACATTCTGGCCGGTGCATGCTGTGTGAGCCCTGCTGGAGTGCACGGTGAGGGAAGCATCAAGGCAGAGCTGAGCGCACACAGGCACTGGTGTTGAGTGCTGCTGGAGGCAGCGCAACACGTTGGCCATAGCTGGGCCGCATGTGCATGCGCGCCGCTGGGGTTGGTCGTGGTCCTTGGGCGAAGAAGAGAGCCTGTGAGGGGACAGACAGGGGATGAGCCAAGGGGGAGAGGAAGACATACCTGATGTGCCGTGGAGGTCTGCATGGGCAGCATCTTCATGTGCATCAGTCCGCTGCTGAAGTTCTTCTGGTTGCGTCATTGTAGTGTAGGTCAGGATAGGTGTTGTGAGTCCGTGGTCAGGCTCCAGGCGCCATGTGGGAAAGTGGCATTGGATACTTTGTTGATGGAGGCGAGTCAGGGACTGACGTTGACAATTGAGTTCATTGCTTTGCTCTTATTCGGTGTGAACATGGTGCATTCTGCTTTCTGTGCAACACACTACCATCCGCTTTTCAATGCGATGCTGCAATTCAGATTTCTGTCATTCGCTCATTTTCCTTGCAATTCAGATTTCTGTCATCCGCTTTTCAATGTTTTTCCCCAGATTTTCTTCAGTTTTTTTAACAATAATTTTTTTGGCAAAGACATTTTTTTTAATTTAATCCGGACCTGAACACCATCCAGGCACTGGTATCCAGACCTGGACATCCAGACTGCCTGCACGGCTGTCCAGATGTGCAGATCGTAACTAACCATCCTTTTTTTTTTTTTTTTTTTTTTTTTTTTTTTTTTTTTTTTTAAAATTTCCTGTGTAACTAACCATCCTTTTTTTTTTTTTTTTTTTTTTTTTTTTTTTTTTTTTATAAAACAGAACCTTAGGGTTCTGGCTCCTTTTCCATTCTGGGGAGCATCGGTCCGGTTCCTATTCCACCGGCAAGTCAAAAAAGGTTACACAGATAACTCACTTACGCTCCTCCCCCTTATGGTGTGGAGGTCCAAAGGACGGCATTGATTACCTCCCGGAGGAGGGATGTACCACCCTTTACGCCTGCCTAAGTTAGCCTGTTCTAATGCGGTTTCATCTCTAAGACTAGCCTTCTGGTTTACAGTTTGTCTATTTGGACCTTGTCTAACAGGTTCCTCTCAGCTCTTCGGCTGTCAGAATTTCCTTGATTGCTAGAACTGTTGCTCGGGTCCTTTGCTCGGATTTTATGCGCCTCTACACTCTGCTGTCCTGCTGTAATACCTTGGTGGAGCCTTTGTAACTATCTAGCCTTTCTCTTCGTTCCTATGCGTGTCTGCATGCTAGCTTGCTTGCTAATTTACATACCGGTTATCCTCCTCTCTTGTCTATCCCTTCCAATATTGAGGCTGTTTGAAGCTGTTCTAGCTATTACCTTAGGCCTTGGTTGTCCTGGGTCTGTGTTAG